AATAACAGTAGGTCAGGTTGGCTGAGAGGGCTCTTCAAGACTGGTCATCCATGCACCCATTTCATGTTGTACCCTGGCTTCATGCTGTCCTGCCCCTAAGGAGGCTCAGAAAAAGGCCACAGCCCGGCAGAAACTAGAATCATTTCAGTGAGGGACCACTCAGTACTTTCAGTGGCAAGCTCGGTTTCCCCCCTGCGCGATCATTAGAACTAGCGACTAGCGACCCAATGATTTGACCATTGCCGTCACCCCTATTGATAAGTCCCAGCCAAATTAGCTTCCCCCCGAGCTCGTCATGGCTATACATGTTCATATTAGTAGGCTTTACTATCATATTTGTGAAGCCAGCTAGTGGCATGGCAGATAGAGGTTTGGGGTGCTGCTCAGTTGTCGGACCCAGTGGCGTTCATGAGCGCCACCACGGCGCCAGACTCGAAGAAGGCCCGGACGATTGACCTGACCGGAATGTCCAAACCAAACAGCAGCTGGACAGCAACATAGCCCAAGAAGTGTGGGGACCCGGCTCTTCGGGTACAAGGCCATCCGTGGCCAGGAAAAACAGTGATCGGAGCACATGAAGTGGCCAAGAAAGGGTTAGCACGCGCCACGTAGGCCATGACTAAACAAATTCCCCACATCTTGGCTGTCTAAACTGATCCCCTGCTAAAGCTTAACTTTTAGTGGGTTAAATGGAAACCCCCAGTTTAGCTTTTAAGTACTCCACCACTCCGTTCTTGTGACTTAGGCCTTCACGGTAGGGAGGGTGGGGGGAACAGGCAGGGAACAAATCATGTGCCAGAACTCAGACCTCCACTCGCCATGGAAAAAACAGAGCCATGCACGTTTTGGAGATGATTTCAAAGGAACTCCTCTCCCCAAAGATTGGACAAGGGTATGATTTGGAGGTCTGGTGACTCGGGCTCCGCGGCCCCGGGCCCGAGTGCTCCCGCCAGTGCGCCCAGTGCCGTCAAAAGTCAAGCTCCAACAAGGATGACTGTTTCAAACATGGTCACCCAACCCCCAACAGCTCGTCATCATTAGGTTGCCTACATCGAACCTCGTGACACGGACTGCAGCGGCAAACGGGCTTCAGCTTCTGATTCCCCAAAACCGCTTGGAACCTGTCGGAAATATACCGCTTAGCAAGATGCAAGATGCAACTGCAAAACGCCCACGAACGATTCACGCATCCCGCCTATCCGGCATGAAACTCATGCCAAAGCTGCAAGGCTGCATGCTTCGCTTTGCTTCGCGGCCAAAATTTACGACCCGCCCTGCATTTCCCCCATGAAGCTTCATGCAAAGCCTGCAGCCTGCAGCCTGCAGCCTGCTGCCGCCGCTGGTGCCTTCAAACACCGGGATCCCGGGCTGCTCCCGGAACTCCAGGAAAACCAGGAAGACCTTCCTCAGCCCGACATGGCGCAGAGGGAAATATGTCATCTAGCTAAAAAGAAACGAGAAAAACAATGACATGGGACATGGGAAAATCCTGAAAGTACACATGAACCCTGGCCATGACCTTGGATCAAGAACCTAACCTCAGGGTGAGGATGGCTCACGCCAAATTGAATGCAGTTGCCACCCCTCGCCAAGCCCAGAACTCTTGAGAGCCCACAACCCAGCAACTGACGTTCCACATATTTGTTCGCGCGGTCAACTATGGCAACCCCCAAGAAAGTACTAAGATTTGGGTGTCTCGAATTTTGGCGAAACTTGCTTTTGGTGGGCAACAAGTTTAGAAGCCAACAAGACTCACTTCTTGAGTGAGGTTGGCCAAACAAAGGAAACCAAACTTTCTAAAAAGCCACCAAATGGTCTTCCCAAAAAGCTTGAAGTCCCGGAACTCAGGAAGTGAGAAGAACCTCGCAGTTTCGCGCGATCATAACCCAAGGTAGATGGTTCTTTTTCTAGGTCCGTTTTTTTGTACTAGGTCCGTTTGGCCTTCAGTATGGTAATGTCCCCAGCATCACCAGCATCACTTGGACCTGGTTTGCTTATCGGCTCTGATTGGGTGGCAGTTGGGAGTTGCTGGGGGCTGGTTTAAGTTAGGGAGACGTTTGGCTGGCTTAGATCTTCAAGGGCTGGCATCCAGGCTGCTGTTGGGCGGGTTTAGGCTTGTCTTTGAGTGGGTTTGCGTTGGCTTGGGGCTGATTTATGGAGGTGTGCTGCTGGTTTAGCAGCGGCTTTAGGGTTGCTTAGAGTGTGGTTCAGTGAGTTGTGGGCGAGTTTTGCTGTAGGGTGTGGTTATTTAAACCAGCCCCCAGCAACTCCCAACTGCCACCCGGCAACCACAGGGCCAAGTGACCAGCCAACCAACCTAATTAAAAGTACAAAAAGAACACCTCCCGACCCCGAGCCACGAATTTGAGACCCGGGCAGCTGCAAGGGAAGCTCGTAGAGCAAAGGCAAGGTGATGGAGAACCAACCTGGCTCGCGATTGCCTGGGAAAGTTGATGGCTGGATGGGGTGAAATTTGGGCTTGTCCGCTTTTCGTGAACCCCAAGATAGATTTTGAAAAGAAGGCAGACCCCATCAAAAGCCAAGCGACACACGTTTGGCTACTTAAACAACGCTGCTAGAGAGGTTTAAAATCCAAACCGCTGCCAAGCAGCTGGTGAGCCGCGCCAAGAAGAGGTGCGCCTCTTTAGAGAAGAGCTCCTGCAATGGTGTGGCCAAAGACGCCCAAGACTTTTCGAGCTTTTGCCATCCCAAAGCCAGTTTCTTGCGATTCACTGCGTGTATAACATAGATGTTCCAGGTCGTAGGCCCCCTGGTCATGGTGGTGGAGTGGTGGCTAAGGGCTGGCTCAGGGAGGATTTGGGTTAGACCCTTAGATGCCGGACCGGGATGCTGGGTGTCGGTTTGGGGGCATATGCAGCAGGGCAGTTGCATAACGTAGAGACAACATGAAGCCACGACCAAGCGCCAATCCGCACATAACGTGGCAAAGTACTTACTTGGCTGGCGATTGAACGCGCGTGGCCCTTTTGCTTCAGCAAGCATGTCCACGGTCTTGAACCCTCCAGAAGCCTGCCCAAGGCCACCCCCAAGGCTTGGCTGGCCAGCCATAGATGTTGCTACAGGAATACACCCTTGGGGAAACAAACAAATGGCTGACTGGCGACCACGTGGTCAGCAAGAACCTGGAGAGGCTTTTTATGGCTTTCAGCCAAACCAGGAAAAACAGAAACCCATTCCTTCTGAAACGCGCGGAGGGATGTGCAATGTGGGCAGCCCATTTTGATCCTCAGGGAATCTTGCAACTGTACGGTGAACGTGTGCCGTAACAAAATGCGCAAGCTGCAGCACGAAAGAACATGCCAGGTCTTGATTAATTATGAGGCATGAAGAGTTGGACTAAATATGAATATGCAATTGCATGAATGCGGATCAACACATCCAAATTCTGAACATAAACATAATCATACATGCATAAATGTATTCGTACGGTTGCATGTTGCAGTATCAATCCTGCACGAAAGGGAGATCTAAAAAAAACAAATATAAATAAATGAATGATTCAATAAGTAAGTAACTCAATAAATAAACAGACTATACACTTGTTGAGTGAACATTCCTCAACTAATGAACATATTGAAGCATTGACATTATACATATGTGCGTGTGTCATATGGAATGTGCACTTGCTTTTGGACAGCGGGGGGCCTAGCAGCCGCATCATTCGCAATCACTCGCCTCCATGCCAGTAAGCGTGCTTTGCTTCACATACTCCAGGAACTCTTCCAAGACCTGGCCACTGGATCTGCAAGAGTGTTTGGGTTCCATAAGTTTGCATCAGCATATCGGAACCCTTATGGGTGGTTTCCTTTCAAGTTCCCTTGAAAGACCCAAAAAGGGCTACCCTAAAGAGTGCAAACCCAAATGGTACAAATGGTTGTTTGCGTATATAATACTATGGACAGTCGCGCTGAGAGGGGCAAATTTAGCCATGTACTTTCATGCTGGGGAGATCTCTCTCTCTCTCTCTCTCTCTTTCCTCCTCATGCCACGTTATTGAAACATATTGAAATATGCTCCACTCGCGCCCCTTTCAAACAGAACAGGTCACCTACCATGTTTGCCCAGAAGCAACAACAACATGTTTTAAGCGGCACATTTTTGACCCCCCATCGAATGCCACATGGCTGTTATGGCAAGTGGCAGCCAAATTCACAAAACCGTGGAAGGGGTGCTCCTGATTTTTGACTAAAAAACAAAACAAAAAAACGGGGCGCCCCAACCCGCGGCCACAATCTTCAACTGCTGCTCATTCAGCACCCGGTCACATCTGGGCGCCTTTATCAGCGTGGCCTCGTAACTACCTCAGATTCTGCCAGCTTCATACGGCAAGTGGCAACCAAACGTCTGCTTTCACCTTCAAGGTGCTCTGTGTCGGTGGTACGTATACTTGGTGGTGTGCCTCTGTGTCAATAATGCTTTTTGGGGTGCTGTCTCGGTTGTGTTTCTGTGGGTTGGTGGGTCCCGGCAGTGTGAAGTGTTGGTTTGGTGGTGTTTCACTGCTATTGGGGTTTGCTGGGTTCATCCAGACTTTGCTTTACCCCCGTAAAATAAACATATGTCCAGTGGTGATTGATTCCCTTCAAAACCAGAGGCAACAACCAATATTTCGCAACGCACTTAACAAAACGGGAATCCCGGCATCGATTGCGGCCTCCTTGCGCTTCCGGCGGTTCCCTGCATCGAAGGCTGCGATGTGCCTCTGCAGCCACAGCTCCCCGGTGGACCTTGGGCGATGCAAGGTGCCAAGGGGGAGGGAGCAAGCAACCCAATCCAGTTATCCTTCCTTCCCTCCCATTTCTGCCTCCCATTTACCTCAGAGTCTTCTCTGCCACAACCAAACCCAAAACCCTAAAAAGCCAAAGCATCCTAGGAAAGGCTTCTGGGGGAAACCGCCCCATTTCTTGTGCCCAGCCAAGAGGCAAGCCCAGATCAAACCGAACCCGGGCTGCCCGGCTGCCGATGCGCCGCCTCGAAGGTGGACTTGAACCTGGGAAAACTTCAGGGGAGAGCGGACAGAACGACACACGCAGAGGGAGGGGGCCGGGGGTGGTCTTGGATGTTTAGTGGGGGCCCGGCCTTGGCTTAAACGGCAACCACAAAGGCAAACCTTGCAACTTGTAAAGCCTCCCAATTTTCACCAGCCATTTGTTCGTTTCATGCGGACCAAACGGCCATGAAGGAGAGAGAAGCCAGACACAACGCACAACGACTGCATAGTCGGCGTTTCGTAGAAGGCCACTAGATCACTCAAATGGCACCGCCCTCAGTTCATGTTGAAAGGGTGAGGATGGACGAGTCCTCTTGGCCCCAAAGTGGGAGGCGACCGAGGCTCTGACAGGTTCGGCGGCGGCTGCAGCAACAGCTTGCTCGATTCCAATGTCTGGGCCTCAAGCCAGAAGAACTGCGGGAAACTCCAGGCACACAAGAACACTACCAAGCAACGCCAACAACATCTGTCAACCTTTGCTCGCAAATGACCTCAGTCAATTATGCAACTTGAGGCATTGTGTTTATGTTGCAGGCCATGCTCAGCTGCATGAACTCAAGGTAGGGTGAAAGTGTGACCCAAGAGGTGAACGTGCAAAGAAACTTGGCGGAGGAATATTAAGATCAATTGAGGAGCAACCAGCAGCAAAGCGCCGCTCTTTCCGCTCAATCCTCTTTGCACGTATGGAAGTCTGCATATCTGCTTGAACAGGGCTCATCCAGATCCTGTCATGCAGGATCGGGCTGCTATTGCTTGAGATGTGCAGGAGAAATGCGGTTGGCAGGTTCCATGAATGGAACCATAAATGCTGGGCGTAAAAACACACACACATTGCCCTTTCCGCCAGTTCTCACCCGGGGGATTTGTAACAAAACTTGCCAGGCGCATACAATGCTGCCTAGCGTTGTGATCAAGAAGCAAACACAGCACCTGACATCACATAAAAACAACAAGACAAGGCAGGCAACAAGGCTACCACTCAAAAACTCTTACGCATGCGGCGCTTAAGCCCCCTGGATACAAAAAAAAACAGAGAAAACAATATTCCCTTTAAAACCAACAGGGAAAATACAAAATAGTCTCAAGCAAATGGAAGTTCCGGTTGATTCTCGGAGCGCACTGTTTGCAGCAGTCGTTGCCGGTGGACAATGCGGCGGCGTGGCATTTCAAGGGGGCATGCTTGCAATGCCATACAACAATTTTACCTAAGAACCCATTGCAACCGTGATCTCATCTGGAAACGTCAAGAATGCGATACTGGATGAGAATGGTAAGTTGAAAGAAACTGAGAAATGGATGGGCGGACACTACTTGGTCGCTCATTTGCATTTCCGATCGGTCCTATCGAGTTTCTCCTCACCATGCCGCTCCTCCGCCTCTGTCAACCCATTCTTCCTCCTGGACACCAGCCACCTGACTAACTTTTCAGTTGGAACAAAGGGAAATCCCGTGGACCGCACAGGGGGCTAGGATCACTCCCCTCGCACGGAAACCCAACACACACCAAAAAACAAAAACCAATTTCACAAACGCATTCACAACAATACCACATCACCACGTGCCAAGTTCCACCAAACACCAGCTAAACTTGGAAATTCATGGAAACAACATCACCTTGCATGACTGAGTGGAAGGCATGTGTGTGTGTGCGCGTGTGTTTTGTATATGTATATATATATATATGAATGTGTGTGTGTGCGTGTGTGTGTGTGTGCTTCTTTTTTTAAACAAAAAACTTGGTGTCGTGTCAATGTCCCCCCTTGCGGATCTGAATCCATGGCCCTGGCCGCCAAGTGTTCGTGGATAGGCGGCGGTGGGACGGCGGGCGGCCTCGCAACTCGCCAGCTGCTTCTGCTGACAAGTGGATGTCCCAAAAGAAATGGTTTCAATCGCTTGAAAACTCAATCCCACACCAAAATTGCCCGTGTGGCTAAACACCCGAAACGTGAAGAACAACGGAAGTGATCATAGATGAATTCCTCCCTTCAAGGGCCCAGCGACCTACCCGAAACAAACTGAGCTGGGCGACGTTCTGGGGGGGAATCGCGATCGAGCACCATGAGTCTCGCCTACATAAAAAACAGCACTTATAAGTTCCGCAACAGTAGTTATAAGACCCGCATTAGAAGTTATAAATGCCGAAAATACCATAAGTTCTTGAAAAGTTAGCATACTTACGGCGGGACTTACAAGTGATATAGGCTTTTTATGCGGAACATACTTAGCAAACTTACAAACTACTTACGCTACTTACGATTTTTGTTTGTTTTCAAGGGTCCACACAGAGCATGCTCTTCCCGGCACTGGAGCGTTGGGTTTTTTTAAGGAAGTGGACGCAGCACAGAGCGAAGCGAAACCCGTCTTAAAGAGATACATGGCGCGACGCGGGTCCAGAGTGCAGGCTTGACCAGGTCCTTGCTTCCCTTCATCTAGGGTCATCTTTTACAAATCGAGGAAGCCACGCACGCAAGAGTTGCAACCTTGCAAGGCACTTTCCATGGGCCCGCAAGCGTCACGCACATGCACACATGCATTCTCACACAAAGTGCGTGCCTTGCGTGCGGCCGGCGTTCTCCTCGCGCTGGCAGCTTGCAAACGTTGATGCGAGGCGTGTCCGACGGCACCGTCGGAGAACCTACACAAAAAGCTATAGAGCCAAAAAGACGAGCAGATGCACCAAAGCCCACATTTCGCGATTTCGGACAAAGCCCGCCGACATCTCACCGACTTTGCACTGACATGCTTGCGGCTGGACCCCTCTTAGTTGTTTTCTAGAGACAAAAGGGATGGGCGCGAATGTCGTTGAGAGGTCGGTGGGTGTCGGTGGGGGTCTGGGGCTATCGCGGCTTCAGGATGTCGGTGGGAGATACATAGCTGGGATGGGATTCCAAGATTCTTGGGCCGAAAAACGTCAGTGAATGACCCCCAGTCTGTTGAAAATATGGAAGTCACGAGATGTCGGTGAACGTCGGTGGGAGCGTCGTGGCGCCGCGAGCATGTCAGTGCAAAGTCGGTGAGATGTCGGTGGGCTTTGTCCGAAATCGCGAAATGTGGGCTTTGGTGCATCTGCTTGTCTGCTTGGCTCTATAGCTTTTTGCGTAGGCTCTTCTTTAGCTGCTGGAGCCATGCTGAACGACACGGTGTTCTGGGATACGCCGCGCATCAACGTTTGCGAGCGCCGGCCGCACGCAAGGCACGCAAGGCACGCAAGGCACGCAAGGCAGCATCTGGCAGCTCTGCGATAGCTCTCTGAGCACATCCTGATGCCGCAGTGGTATGATTTGCTTGCACTAACTGTGCGCCAGACTGCTTTGAGCCAAAAAGGTCGCGGCGCGTCTTCCTTTTTTTTTGGGGGGGGGGGTCAGTGCCCCTCGCCTTTTTCACACCGCCAATGGCTCTGGAACAACGACAAAGCGTATCCCTTGAGTCCAGAAAAAAACCTTCAGACGAAATGAAACGTGTCAACCTGCGCAGCATCAAAAAACAGGGGTCCGCAGAACGAAAGCTACTTACGCTACTTACGAACTACTTATAAGTACACTTATATCTAGACTTCATAAGTTGTCCGTAAGTTCATCTCAAGTGGCAAAACAGCACTTATAAGTAGGTGAGACTCATGGCAACACATTTCTGCAGCTGAATACATCCAATTCAAACGCTTGCGTCGTTGACTGTCATTGTTGTAGTGGTTTTCAGCTGGGCAACGAAAGGCCCATTTGGGCAAAAAACCGGGTTGGAATCTAGTGGTGGGGCGGCAACAGTACGCACTTCTTCCAGATCAACAGTGCTGAGCACTGGTCATGAGAAGGATGCGTATTCATTTTGTGTGGGGAATGTTTAGGAGGAAGATGCGTTGTGCTCGACCGGGATACATGCGGATCGCATGCTGCAACTGCCGGCACGACTGACCAACTCATCTGAGGCATGTGCAAGTTCGCCACCACAACCTGCAGATACCTTGGCGGCCCAAATGTCCTACCAGCTTTAGGCTCTCGCAGTCACTGAAACGTAGTTCCCACCTGTTTCAGCAAACACTATATGTAACAAATGTGCAGTCGAAACCCTTGATTTGGACACCCAAGGCGGCCAAGTGATGACCATTGAAAGGCTGCGGCTGGCAAAAGCCCAACTCTACAAACGAGCTCTTCTTTGTTCGTGCACCATCTCCCGCTTCTCCATTTGCTCTTCCTCCTAACCAATCTGAGCAAAATATGATGCTAGTAATAAAGATGGCTTGGTTAGAGGCAAAAAGATGCTGAGAGATGTAGGATAAAAGCAGACTAGACAAGAAATGGTCTGTCCTCTCTCATCTCTTCCGCACTAGCCAAGCCGACAGATAGTTATTAAAAAACTTGGCAAGCAATACGTATTGTATATCTCTTTCTTTCTTCTTGGTTAGACCGCATGCTGCGGAAACTCGGACTTGAGAACTAGACATGTGTAACAAAGAAAGAATTAGAAGATGATGAGTTTCCAGAAGTCACATCGGAAAGGCTGGGGAAAATATGATATTTCTTTCTATCTGTCTCTCATTTCCCATTCATTTGCGTTCTTGGGTAATTCTCTGGTATCTCCCTTTGCTATAATATAGAAAATTTAAAAAACACATATTAGAAGATGTGAAAAGGAGAAGCTGGTTAATATTCTCTTATGGCCATGCTTCCATTACCCTTTCTTCTTTAGCAATTCCTACAAATACAAATGTCCAGCGACTTTTGGATTGATAAAAGAAAAGTGTCTTTCCAGGAAAGGATGCCATGCGAAGGCTCAGTAATCGCAAGAAAAATGTGAGTGGGATAACGCGAATGACATCATCCTTTTCCTATCCTTCCCGTTCACCACCCTTTCCTCTCTCACCATCCTTCACACGGCGGCAGTTAGCGACGGAAAGCTGACGTGTGCGGTGTAAGGGCTCCTCACTGAGTCATCCTTGACAAACGACACTGAGCACCTTTCCCTTTGTATATCTCTCCCACCCATTTCCGAAGTGATAGATGAGCATGTGAGAGAGGGAAGGTGGGAAAGAGATGGTGGGATGTTGGCACCCCATTAATCTCACTCATCTCTTTCATATGTCTTTCTTTCTGCTATCTATGCCTTTCCAGAAGTCACATCTCGGGAAATTTCAGGGAGAATGGAGGCATGGGACGGATAAATTAGTTCTTCGTAAATCCGCCCAGCCTTCATGCCTCCATATCCTTTACAGGTTCTTGGGCCCGGGAAATCCCAGAGAATATAACGGTGGGGAAAAGAAATGAAATAGATAACGCCCTTCTTGTAACCATCTTTTCCGCTCGCCAATGATGGATCTCGGAAATTTGGATTATGAACATATAAAGAAAACCATCAGGAACAAACAGTACATGATCTCAGATCCATCTATCTTCACCTTGATTGAAATTTTAATTTGAGATTTGGTGAAGATAGAAAAGGGTGAAGGAAGAGGAAACCATTTGTAACCGCTGGAATCTCTTAATCTGTTATCACGGACGTGCCCAAGAGGTGGAAATTCCAAGAAAACACGCTAAACACAAAGATCACAGAACTATATAAAATGAGCACGCAAGAGGATAATGAAAGCGATATCATATGATGGAGACAGTGAAGCAACAAACGCTACAACATATTCAAACCGTAAGTGATAAACAACCCAGATGTTATTCCATTTTCACCTTTGCATCTGGGATTCAAGTGTAGGTAGGATATGAGGTTTGCCGAGAGAACATTGATTACCAACCATTACTTCACACACTTTAAGCTTGGAAATCACATAGGAACCTCAGAAATAGAATCATCGTATGATAGAAATCATATTATTAGTGAAGATGTGTCTAGAATATATAAATGATAATGCATCTTGTTTTTCTCGCCCGCCTTTTTCCGCAGTGGCTTCAATGCCTCTCTCTTTCTGCAGCATAAGGTGACAGAAGGAATGATATGAAGGTGACCAAATGATCTGTGGGTGTGGGCTACGGCGAGGGTTAAGGGTGAAGCGTCTCTTTCCCCACTTTTCATTTAACAGTCCAATTATGAAAAATGGTTGAAAAAGGGGTAGCCCGTCCTCTCTTAATCACATCCTCCTAGAAACAAAGGGAAAGGGTGTGGAGAGGAATGGAAAGGAAATGAAAGAAGCCGGAACGAAGATATTGCTGATATGACTTCTCTTTCCTCCCACTTTTCATTTCCTATCTCTTAACAAACGAAATGATAGAGAGAAAGGAAGAGTGTGATCTTTTTCAAATGCAGGAATTATTGTGATTCGGGCACGAGCCTGTGCCCAGGCAATGGGTAAGTTGGGGTAAACAAGCCACAAAAGAAAGGTTCCCCAAAAGCAAACCAATCCCCGGTCCCAAAGATCAGGGTTTCCCACACACCAGAGAACAACAACCAAAAGGAAACAAACCAAACAAGAAAAGGGTTAACCCGCAACCTTGGTCGACAAAGTAGTGGAGGGCCTCGCCTAGCAAATAAATTGCTTCATACATACCCCCCACCCTACATTTTTTTTCATCTTCCATCTTCTACCCTTATTTGTTTTCATCATTTTTCTACATTCCTTTCTGTCCATCTCATCCGTTTTTTATCATCATTTTTCCAAAATTTTCGCCATCCTTTTCTCCTTCCTCCTCGCCTCATTCATTTCATCATATACCTCTCAAAATGTCATTTCCTCAATCTCCTCACCTCATCCATTTCAAAAAAATAAATTTTGCAAAATATATTGCAAACAATATTTGTCGTCAAAAAAATATTCGAACTGTCTAAAAACGATTTGTCCATTTCCCGGACAAAAAATAGAACAGCAACAACATCACTCCCTCCTTCGTTTCATCAGTTTCATCATATATTTGTTTGGGCGTGGTCGCATAGCTTGCGAGCTTCGCTAACGCTCGCATCCTCCTTGTAGGATTTTATCTTCAATATATAAAACGCTATACTTACATTATAATTATAACATATAAGGGTATAAATGTTATTATTATAGTATGGTTTTAAGCCTGCTGGCCATGCGATAAATCACCTCACGCAAAGTCATTTTGCACCTCACGCAAAGCCATTTTGCATCTCACGCAAAGCCATTTTGCATCTCACGCAAAGCCGTTTTGCACAAAGCGCCTTTGTAAAAGCCTACTTGATGTCATTGCAACCCAAACTCAAAATCCTTAATCCGTCAAACTCATCAAAAATCAAATTATTAAACTACTAGGTATTTTATATAGGTCATGCAAAGCCGTTTTGCACAAAGCGCCTTTGTAAAAGCCTACTTGGTGTCATTACAACCCTAAACTCAAAATCCTTAATCCGTCAAACTCACTAAGATTTCACAAATCAATTCGCTAGGTATTCTATATAAATCTTCCTGCTTATGTATTATTGGATGGTCTCCCCATTTTTCCTTGTTTCCATTTGACAGTCTCTATTGATTATATTGTAGATATTGTTGATGCTTGATGGTCTTTTCGTGTGGTGCTTTGTCTCCTCTTCGGAGCGTTGAACCACAGCAACAAGTGTATTTTATTTTGTTTCTTTCTAACTTTTCTTGGTATGTTTGTTGTTTCTTTCTTTCTCGCCTTTGTTTTTCTTCTTCGTCTTCACAAATGTTCCCTAAAAACCGCTGATGTTTTTTGCTTCTTTCGTGCTCTGCTTTTCCACCAATACCAACAACAGACCCACAGGCACAGGTGTATTTTTGTTTCTGTCTTTCATTGATGGCATCTTTGTTTTTCCAATAGTGGTCTCGTTTTTGTTGATTTATTTGTTCTCGGTAGTGCTCCCTGTATTCAGCATATGTTCTTCCCGGTGTCTGCTTATTAACACAATCCGTCGATAGTTTGTAATGACCTTCTCTTTTCCGTAGTTCTTCCACTGTATCGCACGGGCAGTTTTCAATCCAATTCAATCAAGCGATTTATCAGCTGCATTGATTCATATAATGAAGGATGATGCATCAATGAACATACGCTGGAAATGATTTCTTAACATTCTTTTCTGATCTGCCTTTACCAATTATACGACTTGAACTTTCTAAGTGCTTCATATGGCATCTGTTATCGCATTATCTGATTATTTTATACCTTCCATTTCTGCCTCGGTTTGTATCCATTTACTATCATAATGGTGGCATCTCTTTAAAGGGAACGTCAAACTGCAGATTTCCAAAACTTCAATTTGGGATAATTACTGTATAATCTCTGAATGAATGATAGAGTTTCCCAATCGGCTTTACTTTTTTGCGTCTCACCCTTGAATTTCAATGTATTATTATTTCTGATGTTTACCACAATCAACTTTTTATAATTCTCTAGGTTTTCAGTATATTTGGCTACCAGAAACCACAATCGTTTTCTCCAACATTCATGTTTGACTAATGGCATCTTTAAAATCAAACTCATCCATAAACTCCTGATGTTTTAATAATCCAGTTTGTGGATTTTCGATTACAAAATATTTAGGATTGAAATATTTGATAATCTCAATAATTTTTAAGACAATACTATTTGCATATTCGATATTCCTAATTCCCCTAGTTTTTGCTATGCTGTATTCAGTGCATGGGGGACTACTCCAAATAAAATCAAAATGGTTTCTGTCAAACTGTTTGTAATCCCACTCCAAAATATCAGTGATGATATCAGCATTTTTCAAGTCTAATGATATTACATTAAATCCAAGCGACTTTGCTATGGTTCCGACGCTTTTTGTTCCGCTAAATAATTCTAATAAATTCATTTATTAGAATTACTTAGATATTAATTATTCAAATAATACATATACTCCATCATCATTTTTTGGAAATTTTGTAAAATTCTAATGTTTGTTGCTTTGGTTGTTTGATTTTTCCTGTATTCAACATATCACAGTATTTCTTTTGCTTTGTAGGATAATCACCCGTTGGTCTTCCTATAGATTTTGCTTGAAATATCTTTTCGATTTTTTCCTTCTCCTGCTGTTCGCTT